ACAACCGCTTTTATTGAATACGTCGTCATTTAATAGTGAAAATTTGCAAAATTGTCTTTCCATATCGAGAGATATCGAACGTCAGGAGCGGTTACGTCAAATAAATCGTCGATTGAGTCATCCAACACCGCTGGAGGCTATGTTGACCTACGAGGAGATTTACGAGTGCTCCTTAGAGGACGACCGTTATTATACGGCACAAGATTACCAGAATGCGACAGGTCCACGACAAGTAACCGATCTGGACGTGTCACTAAGCATAAACGATTGTATGGGTTACTTCGATGAAGATGTCAACGTGGATTCGGGTCCATCTCGTTGTGATACACCCAACAAATTGCCCAGCTACGGCACTGTTGCCGCGGCTGTGGCAAATTTCCAAACTCAAATGTCCAAGTCTATGGGTTCGCCGCCACCACCGTATAAAGAGCGCGTCTCGCCCAGAATATGTAAGCAGCCTGCAGAACCAACACCGCAGACGAGCAGCATACAGCAATTGCGTAAAAAATACGAACAAAACAGTGTAAACGAATCAAACCAAAAAACACAAGCGAAGCCGCCAAAAGTGAAGGAATTACGTCGGCCGATGCCATCAGCGCCATCGCCGAACTTACGCCCAAAATCGCCAAAACCTACGCGCAAGTCGAAGGTTAAACAAATGGCGCATATGTTTAATAACAAAATTCATCAATTGATGCGTCGGGATACCAACGAAAAGAAGGGTTATAACCAAATGGATGTCACACAAACGCAGCAAGTAAATCCGCCTAAGAAACTGGGTATATTAAAACCTCCCAACAAGGTCCGTCGTTGGCCATCTTTCCGCACTGGTCTGCCCAGTCCAGTGCCCAGTCCACGTTTCAAACGCAAACCCGGCCAAACCAACACCGACAAGCCATTGAGCGACAGCGAGAGTGCTTGCTTAGTCGCCGAGGATGTTTTCCGCAAACTCTCCGTGAAGGATAAAGCTTTGCTGTACAACAAATTCATTGAGGATATGGCCAAACAGCATCCGCAGTTCAGCGTACATGCACGCCTCATGGAGGCTACGGTACAACAGGAGTTGGAGCGCAGCGAACGTGAGCAGAAGCCACCTAAAGTTAAGGAGCTGGCACGTGAATTGGAGACCAAATTTAATTTGTCCAAACCAAAGATATCTACATGGGCTTTGAAGAGACTGGCCGAGCTACAAAAGACACCTGAATATGAGGCAGTCAACAGACGCATTTCGATATCACCACCCCCGCCAGCCATCGCCGCTGCATTACAATCTTTGCAAGAGCAAGATGAACAGCCGAACGATGCTAGGCAAACCGGGTGCGAAGTTGACAATGAGGAAGTCGAGACTGAGGAGTTGCATGTTAGCACGCTGACTGTGGTGCTCAAGCCAAGCCCAGATAAGCTGGCACCTAAGCGTGAGGTGCCACGCATACTGCCACGTAAAACACGCGAGCTGCAATTCATACATGATATGCGCAAGATAGAGCGTTCATCGAAACGTAATAACGAATCGATGCGCGCCTCAGTCTCCTTCGAAGCTTATGGGCCACCGAAAAAAATACGACGCACTAGAGCCGAACGCCTACAACCCAAGGCCATCTTTCAAAATGCGCATATGGAGCGTTTGTTCTACAACTGGATCATGGAGAAGAATGGCGTCACCTTCGATATTACAACAGTGGAGAACAGCGAGGATTCTTTGTGTGCAAATGGCGATGAAGTCAATACATCGAAAAGTTCGACTAAATCCAAATCTAAAGTACATGTGTTGTTGGAAAAGGCTAAAGCTAAATTGGAAAGCGTTGAAGCACGTGTGATGAGACGTGATAGCTATATTTCAAATAAAACTGAAAAGGCTTTGAAAATAATTAAAGAAACCAGAGAACAGCAAGTCATCGATAAAAGTATCATTGAAGTGGAACTGTCACACAGTAACAGCAAGACAGGCACTTCCAGCGATGAAATTCACGCTGAAACCGGAAATTGGAAAAACCAGAGAAAGGTGAAACGTCAAGCGCCACAACCGCCCAAGGCAGATCTCTCGATTAAGAACCCTAACTCCGAACAAAGAAACGAGCAAGACTTCTCTTCATTGACATCTTCAGATAAGCAATCCGAAGCGGAAAGTGAATCAGGACTCTCTAGCTTACCAAAGGTTTGTACGATAAAAACTCAAAACGAAAATATTTCCTTTTCACTAACTGCCGATTTTACAACTCCACAGATTACAAGCGATGAGTCACAACCAGAACAAACCGCACAACCGGCCTATGCCAACAAAACGGCCGACTTTGAATTTGCCAAGCCCATTAAACCAGCACGCAAGAAGAAGTTGCGCCGCACACTCACCTGGAAGAAAGATAACTGCATTATCGAGAGTCGTCCCGTACCGTCATCTACCGACTCTGAGAGCGATCATGCTAAAGCGCCTGAAAAGATAGAGGACGAGGAGGAAGAAGTTGTCTACGTCAACGTTATGCAACCACCCAAGCAAACAGAAGATAAACCGACCAAAAACCAAATCAACGAAATGGCAGTTGCAGCACAAGAGGCGCTAAATAAGGAGCAACAAGAAAATAAAACTATCAACGACGAAACCATCATAAATAATTTGAACACCCCACAAAAAATAAGGTCCGCCTATACACTGACAGCTATGTCCACGCCTTCGGCTCACACAGAAAGTGATCCGTCACCTTTAACAGAAAGCGATCCCGAGATTAGACGCAAACATAGCATGCGTCAGCTGAATTTGTCATCACCATCATTGAAGACGCAGCAGGAAAAGCAACAGCAATTGCCGGAAAAGTTCGTAGAAACAAAAAGCGCTGTAAATAACAAGTCAGCTTTGGATATAACACAACCGGAGGACACGCTGCAAAAGCTTATCGATAGTTTTGTCGATCTCGGCTTCGAGACTGGCTCAAATGGCATGGAGAGTCCGGTGCGTCGTGCGGCACCTGTGCCGAAACCACGAAGAAGTAAAGGCTCTGCGCCACTTTTCATCAAACTCACGACTGAGCTGGAAAAGACGCTGCAACAAACTCGCTCCGGCTTTTCTTCGACACCGGTGCGGGGCATGACAACCAACCAGTCACATCAAGCATTCAACAACAACGCAGCACGCCAACTACAACAACAGTCCTTAAGTCCTATCAGCACTCTAACTGCTGCACGTCGTCGTTCACTGAATCCGATGGAGGATTCACGTCGTAATTCTATAACTATGCAAGTGATTTGCGAGGATCGTCCGTTGGAGCATGTTGATCGTTCGCAAACGCAAACGCCCCAATCGGCCACCTCCATGGAGACCAGCTTCTTCGGTAACTCCTTTAATTTGAATGTTAGCCACAACAACGAACAGCAAGAGAGAACTTCCAAGTTTTGGATACGTGCCGATGACTTCACCATTAATATGGATGTCTTCTACAACCCGCCAGACCGTCTACGCTTGTTATATGACATATTCAGCCAGAAGAGCAGCGAAACAAGTGATTTACACTTTGGCATCGATGATTACAGATTCTCCACACAAAAGTCGGGTGACAAGGCCGACATATCGAATCGTCTGCCCACTATTAATGGCTGCTCACACTATTGGTTCTCCACTGGCGATCTGGCTGTACCATTCAACGGCAAATATTTGGCGCCAGAGAAGATCGAACGTATGTTCACTTTCGTAAAAGAAACGATTAACGAAAAGACACAGTTAAGTTTTGGTGTCGATGACTATGAATTCTCCCGAGTGCCTGAAAACTTGGACTCCTGTGCCAAGTTTTCAATGGAAAGCAGCTACAGCATGCTTGTGGGTCTACAAGGTACCAACAGTGGTTTGGAGGGACGTGGTCGTTCCGCTTGGCCGAGTTCGGTCTATAACTCTGCTAACTCAAATGCCAGCTCTATAAAAACATCGGATTTGGATTGCTCAGTAGTGGGTTCCGATTATGATGACAGCGAATTACGTTATCTCACTGAATCGCCTACCGGCACCAATTACTACGATATATCCTCGGTAGATAGTGCCGATCTAATATTGCCACGTAAAAGCAATGAGACAAAATGTGAACACTTCTTCGATATGAAATTCGACTTTGAAGCACTGGATAAGCTTTTTGAAGAAGATCAAAAGAAAGCTCTGAACAAATCACTCGACTCTAATCATAAACAATCCATACCGGAAATGTTACAGAAACTACAGCATCAGAAGCTCAAATTGACGGCCTTGGAAAAACGCATGAAGACCTATTCGAATCACTCGAGCATTGCCGGCGCTGTCATACCGCACTCGAGGGAGTCGCCGCTCTATATGCACAAATTGCGCACCATGATCCATGCTATCGATAATATTGGACGTGAAACTGATTTTAAGGCGTGCAGCATGAAACAACTGGAGAGCTTCATGCTCTTCCTCACACGCTATGCCGATATGTGCTTGGCCAGCTGCGATAAACATATGAACAAGGTATTGGATGCGTTGTTGGACCAGCAGCAGAAACAGCAAGAGGAATTGATTAAGTCCAATAATGAATTAGGAGTGGCCTAGGTCTGGTGCCCTTAGAGGATTACATACATCGACGAGAACTTCCTTCCAGATTGCAAATCTAGTTCCATATTCATTATTATTGTTTCGAAATCTTATTTATTTATTACACTATTTATATGTCTTAATAAATTTGAATTCCTCTAAAAGAAATTGTATTTATTTTCTTGTAAGATTGGGTCCACAGGGTTTGGTGAGGGTATTTTGGTTTAAAAAAAAATATTTAACTATTTGTTTTATTATTATTTGAAAGTCGTTATTATTAGGTTTGCGACATCGCTAAAAATGTTGCCTACATTTAGGCAAATATTGAGTAGAAGATTCAAAACGTATTGCAACATAAGTCGATACACATTTCTTGAAAATTTCGAAAGAATTTAATTCATATGCCCCATTTCCTGATCTTCTAATTATTTTCTGTTCCCAAAAAAACTAACGTCCGCATTCTCTCCATTTACAGGCGCCCGAAAATGAGCTACAGAAATCGCATGAACACAATCCGGCCGCCTTGAGCGAACACCAGCTGCGTGTGCAGGCTTCACTGCAGCGCCTTAACATACCAGACTGGTTCCGACAATACAATCAGAATACATCACGCTCGCCGGAGGGCAATACGACCGCCTACAAACCGGGCAATTTCACACGCAAACGCACCACAGAATCCGGCCGTTGGGCGGGACTCAACTCGAAAACCACATCGCTCAGTTCGTTGGGCTCCCAACGCTCCGACCGCAGTCCACTACTACTCAGCCCCTCTGCGCATAGTCATCACGGCGGACAGGCGGCGCAACAACATGGCACCGCTGGTACTAGCGTTTATAGTGCAGCTGGCGGCGGCGGCGGTGGTGCAGGCGCATTCTCGCGCTGGTCCACATCGCATCTGAATTCGTCACAAACATCGCCGAGCGTGTCGCAACGTGGCTCCTTCACACGTGGCGGCCCGATCAACTCCAGTTTCATATCGGTGGCTAGCGGACAAAGTAGTGTGATAAGAAGTTCCTACCGGCAGCCATATTTGGGTTGGCGCAGTCAGGAGAAGCTCTCACAGCGCACCCCACATGAACGGTAAGTTAGCACTCTCTCTCTTTACGCTCATTATATCTTGGTTTTAACGTGTATTCTCTGTTTGCTTCACAGCTTGGCCTCGTCGTTACTCGCGCAACAACAACGCACATCGCCTACACAAAGGACCGCCGGCGTCACCGCGAACGGTGACAATGGCAAGCTGCAACCGGTCACACCGGAAATACAGAGCTCCATCAAGGAGGTCACCTCGGCGATTGTGCACTATGTGAATGATCAGACGCARCAACAACAACAACAACGCAGCAGATCGGCGAGTCCCAATTCGAGGTAGGCGCAAAGCTCTAGAGTGTTGAGAAGCGAGAGCACAGCAACAACGACGTTCGCTGCTATGTCGCATACACACACAGCCACAAAAACAAAACAAAAGCACACAAGCGTAGCGAAATTGGAAGTAGTGTCCTGGCAGCTAGCGTTAAATATCATATATATACGTGTGTGTGTGTGTGTGTAGCACTATATACGTCCATTAGACCTACACCAAGGTTTTCATGTATTTAGTGTTGTTTAGTGCGCCCCCCGCCACTCTTGTATATTGGTTCTAGAAATTTTTGTGTGCACACAGACTTATTTGTTTCACTTAAACTTCGAAAACGGCAACAACAACACTTTAGCACTCAAAAAAGTATATGTCGTAGTGTTCGAAAACTGAAAAAAACCTGGAATCACCACCACCAACAACACCAACCAACCAAGCACCACAAATTTTTATAGCTTATGATTATTATACAATATTATTATTGTTGTTGCATTTCTCATTTAGCTACTTGTAAATTATGATTTTGAGTTGATTCATTTAATTGATTGTTTGCTTAAATGAAGAGGAGAAAAGTGAGAGGAGAAGAGATGAAATTTGTAAATAAGCCGTTTTTAGTTGAAGAGGTAAGCGGATTTTGCTATAATTTACTTCATTCTATGTTCATTAGTGCAAAGTTTTATTTTACTAATTTCAAAAATTCATTGTGGTCCTTTGTTTACTTTAACTTGCTTGTTGTTGTAATTCATTAACATTTTAGTTGTTGATGTACTTTCACTAACATGCATGAACTAACTGCTTTAGTTAAATAAACTAACTGTTATAGTTAGTTAAATAAAAAAGTGTTTTTTGTTGACAAACATTGTGTCACAAATGTTGAGGTGGAAAGTTTAAAAAGAGGTTAGGTCGAATCAAAAAACGAAATAGGGAAGTTGCATGAGTCAGCAGTGAGAACTAGTAGTGTCTACTCAATTAGACTTGTATACTACATATAATATAGGATTCACTTCCTAAAGTACATATCATTGGTAATAGATAATAACAATAATGTTTTCCTTATTTTGTGACAAATCAGCTGTTCCCCTTCTCCTTTTTTCGCTTTTGTTTTGGTTGGTGCATTGCCAACCATCCCAAACACAAGTATCAGCTGTTCCCTTTCTTTTGTTTTTTGGTTTTGGCATTGCCAACTATTTTAGCTTTAAGCTAGACAGCAAAGCTAGGTACTAAACGTACACATCGAAGGGTGTTACCAAACTATT